GGGGCGGGGCCGGCGCGGTCCCGCCGCGCTTTGCTCTGGGCTTTGGGGTTGTTTTGGGGGCGGGTTTTGGGGGACTGCGCACACCCTCCCCTAGTCACAGCCCCGGCCCAGCTCGCTGCACTGCCCGTACCCCTTGCTCAGCTCCGCGAGGATTTGTGCCTCCTCTGAAGGTGGCAAGTGTCTGCAAAGCGAGTCGGGAAGCCAGAGAGCTGCAGCCCCCGGGCCCCGCCGCGGCTTCCCCGCCGTCACCCGGCACCTCCCGCACGGCCCGCCCCGCAGCGCCTCTCCCGCAGCGCCTCTCCCGCAGCGCCGCTCCCGCTGCCGCCCTCGAACACAAGGAACGAACCCCCTTTCCACCAGCACAGGCCGGTCCCTCCCCGGCAGCCTCGGCAGCGCCGGGAGCGGCCGCAGCCCCCAACGACGGGCGGGGCGCGCCGGGAGGGGCCGCGCGGGGCGGGGGCGGGTTCCGCGGCTGCGACCCCGCGGGGAAGGGACCCCCGGGCCCGCCCCGTCCGGCCCCGCCGCTGTCCCTGCTCGGACACCGCCCCTCGCCTCGCCCACAGTTTTAACATTAGAGAGCCAAGACTTAATCCAGAGCGCCACAAGCTCCCAAGTGCAGGGGATTTCCGTAGACTTGTTATTTTTCTCTTTTTAATGACCACGTTGCTAAAGTCAGGGAAATACAATCAGCATTCCCTAAACACCATCACTTCTACATCCACCTGCGATCAGGGGCCGATGGGCAGCAGCCTGCCCTGGACGGGCTGCAGGGATGGTGTGAAGGCCACTGTTCCCCAGGTTTGAATGACTCTGGCCATGATCCCCGGCCCGTGGACAGAAAGCCCAGAGCCAACAGGAACTCCAGCCAGCTGCAGGCAGATGTTACTCCACCCCAGTTTGCCGGGGTTGGGGACAAAGGTGCCCTTCCCCGTTCGGAAGTGGAAGTCGTCCCCTGTGCAGAGCCCGCTCTGATCCTTGGCCTCGTGGGAGCCAATTCCCTTGTCACAGCCCACTTCCTGCAGAGAAGAAAGGGAAAGATTGCACATAAGGAAGACATTCTTCCTTGGGAGGGTGGGGAGGTGGCCTGGCACAGAGACGCTGTGGCTGCCCCATCCCTGGAAGTGGCCAAGGCCAGGCTGGAGGGTCTATTGGAAGGTGTCCCTGCCCGTGGCAGGGGGTGGAAGGAGATGACCCCTGAGATCCTTTCCAACCCAAACCACTCCAGGATCCCAGGATGATTCCATGCTCTCTCTCTGCATTTATTTGGCATCATTTCCTCTCAAAAACAACATCTCCAATTTAGCTGATTGCTAAAGCCATAATTTTAAAATCATCCCAGGAACCAAAAGGGACTGGAAAACACACAGAAATCACTCCTGCACCCACCAAATCATTATTAATTGGAACCCGATTCCCTCATCTCCGTCCTTGTTTTTCTTGGCTGGAAAACCTGATGATCCTCACTGGCTATTTTTAGGCTGGTTTTCTTCCACAGCTCCTTTCTCCCGGCTGAAACCTCCTGGCATATTCAGGGCTTATCTGGAGGGAAGCCCCTCTGAGGTATTTCCTCTTGTGGCAATTCTGTGGGATGAAGAAGTAAAAAAAGCACATCAAGAGCTCCTTCTACCCCCTTCCTTCGCAAACACCCTCCCAGTTTGTCCTTGGCAGCTCCATCCCCCCGGCACCCGCACCCGACGCTTCGGCTCCGCTGGGAAAGGGACAGCAAGTGCAGAGGCAAGTTCAGTGCTGTGCAGGGGCTCCCTGGGGAACAGCACTTCAGTGGTTTAGTCCATGGCCTTTCCTGCTGCCCTCCCTCCTGGAGGCAGAGGATGACCCGGCCATTGCTCTCTCCCTTGTTTCTCCCACACTCGCAGACCCAGGTCCTGCTCTTTTGGCCCCACTTTTCTTGGCAGACCCGGCATCATTTTCCAGGGTCCCCAGGAAACTTCTGCACTTCACCCACTGCTAAATTTTCTGAAAACATTAGCTCTGACAAGAAAGAAAAAACCAAAAGCTTTATGGAAGAAGGAAAAGTAATATATTGAAATTAACTTTGCTGACTCAACTGGTGGCCATGTTATCATTCCCTCGGGTCCCATTTATGTTTAAAATGTATTGATTGCTTAATGGGATCGAAATGGAGAGACTGCAAAGCAAAAAGTGAAAACATGGTCATTTTCCATTGGCTTGAAGACCCCTCTAGTGGCCGAATTAAATATTGACTCACATAACAGTTCCACTAGTTCCCAGTATAAACTGAACTGCAATACAGGAGAAAATAAGCAAATATCGTAATTTAAATTTCAGATGTGTTTTTATGATGTATTTTTGCACATTTGACCATCAAACATTCCTAGGTATGATCCTAAAACAGATGCTTGGACAACAGTGTCCCCCTTGAGTGTCCCTCAGTATGCAGTTGGGATCTGCCCTCTGGGGGACAGGTTATATGCCGTGGGGGGCTACGATGGCCACACCTACCTGGACACGGTGGAGTCCTACGATGCCTAGAACAACGAGTGGACAGAGGTAATGGGAAGAATCACCTCGGAAATAGTAGGAATTCCTCCTGCAGCAAGGAATAATTCTGTCTAAATAACTGACAAAACTACATCACAAAGTTATCACTGGTGTTGAGAAAAATGACATATCAGGCTGCAGTAATACTACAACTGGGCTTGAATTAAATATCATTGCCTGTCTTGTGAAAGAATTGGATAAAACTTCTCAGACTAAGGGGTGGAGGCTGTGCCTGGGTGAGTGAACCCTGGTGCACAAATCATTTTGGGCTTTAAGTGCTTAAATTTGCCATGGCTGGAGCTGGTGTGTGTTTGTCATTAGTGGTGTCTTCTGGATGCACTTTCAAATTTTCATATTTATGATTGTCACAATTGAGACCATGAGGAAATACCTAACACTTTTGTAGTTTTAGGTATTTTTGTAGCCGCACAGTCTGTTGTTTTGGAGCATAGAACATGAAGGTCTTTTACAGATGTTAACAGCAACACTACCGTCCTACACTCCTGTAACTCTCAGCAGCTACTGAATTTTGTCAAAAAGCCCAAATTGTGTTTTTTAGAGCCCTGGGTAAATCTAATTTTTTTAGCATTACATGAGTTCAAATAAACAAATTGTTTTCCTATTAACCTGGAAGTAATTTCTTCTTCAGTCCTATGTTTCCTCCTTTTTATTTTTCTTTCCTCTTTCTATTTTTAGGAAGTTCCTGTCAACATTGGAAGGGCTGGAGCATGTGTTGTTGTGGTGAAGTTGCCCTGAGGACTATAAATATCCCAAAACTAAAGTGAGTGGAGTTTCAGAAGAAACGTTTCCAGAGAGCAGCCTGGACTACACACATCTCAGTAACCCTCTGTCACAGACAATAACTGAGCCATCTATTAGAGCACAAAAGTGTCTTCCTGCATCACAAAAATTGGACAGTTCTGCATAACTGAATTATTTTATTATGCCTAAAACACAAAATACGGTAACATGTTTAAATGGTTCCTGTTTGTTAAAAAAGTGTATCTGTTATTTATAAAATGCAGTAGTAAAGTGAGAAACGGGTGTATAAGATTTCATAAACTTTTTTCCTGTCTATGTTGGCAGGAATGAAAATGTTTATAAAAAGAGCTTTTATATTTTAAGCAAATGAAAATGACTAAGAAACACATTCAGCAGAGAACTGCACAGAAGGAAATATTTGCTCATAAATATCACTGGCAACAGAATATTCTCTACAGAGCAGCTTAATTTCTATATTCAGAAATAAAACTACTAAATTAACTTTAAGATCAAATCAGAGAAGCAGAGAATTGGTTGTTATTTACCATCCAGCTTTGGCAGTACTGTGTACAAAATATCCATTTTTAGCAGTATATTGAATTGAATAATGCAAGTTAAGAAATAGTAGGGCTAAGGTACCTTCATGCTATTAAATATGTGCCAAGAGAAAGAAATCTCTTTTTTCAAAACACAATGCTGATATAATTTAAAATTATTTTCGCAGTGCACAGATATGTGATATTTTAATGCTGTTCTGGGTGTCAGGTTATTCCTGGATTTCTCTTTGCCCACAACCATCTGTCAGTATGTGCTGAACTAATTTGACTATTCTTGGGATAATAACCATGCATTAAACTTTAAAACAATCGTATAATTGCATTCCTTGAATATAACTTACAAAATGAAATTTTTATATCATATTGATATGACAATCTTTGACCCCAGCTGAAGATTACCAGCTTTCTCTCATGTACAGTAGAAATATGGTAAGGAAAAAACCACATCCACTGTGTGACATTATATACCATTTAGATAAACATGTTTATGTTTTATCTGAAATTAGGGGAATGCTAAGAATCAAGATTAAACGGGAAAACACCACATGATGTTCCACATGCATGATATTTTCTTTTTGTGTGCCAATTTCTAATGAAGGTTTTGATTTGTTTTGCATTAATTTCATTTTTTATATATATAATTTCAAATGCTGAAAGTGTATTTTAGAAAAAGAATGTATGTAAGATATTCTATGCTGTAAAGCACAATACTTGGTCAGTACCCACCTTAGTGTTTGTTATGTTGTTCTTTTGTCAGAAAATTCAGGACAGAGATGAAAAATCTTTGAATGTGTAGAGTAACTTTCCCGATAGAATACTGTGTTATCAGAATTCAGCAATATGTTATTTTAAAAACTTTATAGTATTAAACCTGTTGAATGCCTCTAAAGATGAAATGTCATAAGCATATTTATAAAAGGAAGAACATTTTTAACTTTAAAAATGAATTATGTTTGCATATAGCATGTTACATTCAAATAAAATTTACTTTCTCTGCTAAGAAAATTTAGACTATATTTTAACAATGTAGTGGGTTTTGTTTTACATCCTTTCAAAACGAGAAAACATAGAAGGATCAATCTCATTTTGTACTTTAAAAGAGAAAAAGATCCACAAAAACCCCTACCGACAAAATGGGGAACAAACCCTAAGCCAGCTCGTGGGTCATGGGTTCCAGTATTCCCATCAGAGAAGGAAGACATTTTAATTTCCCATTAAAGCACCCTGAAGCAAATACAAGGGGCCAACCACCAAATTGACAGTGAACCTGCACAGTAAGACCTTTGGGAATTTAGGATGGGTGTTAAATTTCTCTCTCCCTCATCCTGTCTGACCCCCTACTTAGAACATCTTTTTGCAGCAAACGTTATTAATTTTTAACGTTATTAAAAAAAATTCCATCAGTTTCTTTCTCTTTGCTGCCATCCTGCTTTGATCATGCAACAGCCATGTGCACCCTTCTATAGAAATAAGGATTTGTACGGACAGAGAGAGAGGGTCACTATTATTTATCACTCAGCCTCTAAATCCTGCTTTTCTCCTGTTCTCCTATAAAAGCACATCCCTGCTGCCAGGAACTAGTGCAACCTCATATATTCTACTCTTGTTTGGAAAGCCCTGATATCAAATGCCCATTTTTAAGACTCCCAAACACAAATTATACAAACAATGTACAACTAATGTCAAGAAACATGCAAGAGGCACATCAAAACAGACACTGGGAGTCTGGAAGTGCCAGCTGGGAATCAGGTTGTGCACAGGCTGTTTGAAGCTGTTGATATTAAACTTCATTTCAGCTTGTAAAGAATCAGAGGAATATTTCGCACTCAAAACATGAATTAATTCAAAATAATCTATTTTAGGATGAAACCTTGACAAGAACTATCACAAGATGAAATATTAAGTGTTAGAAAACATAAACATAAAATTTGAGCAGATATTTGAATTTAAGCAACAAAGTGACATGACTGAATTTTCTACAGAAAGAAGTTCCTTGGTAGTTTTAGTACTGAAGTTTGTTTAGAGGTTTTTGGGAGTTTTTCCCATATTATTTGTACAACAGTGAAAAATCACGTGAAAGAAAACTAGCAATCCAAAAAAGGAAATTGGACACCTAATAGGAAGATGAAAAACAAGCAAACTGGAAAGAATTTGAAGATGTTTAGACATTATTAGGTGAGAGGAAGTGCTGGAGATATTCTCTGATGAGGTGTCCTGCCTTCCCATTTCCTGGTTCTTCAAACATGAGTTGGTGCAATAGTTGTGCAGCATCTTTGCTCAGTGGATCCCTGACAGCTGCAGCACATCTGGCTGGTTTCACAGGGTGGCAGGAGCCATTCCCAGAGGGAGCCATCCCCTCTCATCCCAACCTTGCACTGCTCTGGGCTTCTTATCAGGACTCTTGCTGGAACAATGATATCAGTTGTGCTATTTCTTCTTTGCCCAAATCTTTGCCCAAAGAAGATTTGAGTCCCAATCTTCTTTGCCCATTGTATTTTCTTGCCTTTTAAGTCCTGGCCCTTAAGACACCTTTTTTTCCTCTTTGGCTTGGGTGATCTCTACATGAACTGCACCAGCAATGATACTTTATATAACACAATGTATGGGGAGCAGGGACACCACTTACCTGTGAAATCAGTTCTGGAAAAGACTAAAGATGCAGCTTAACCATTTCCCTGATGCCACAGTAGAATAAATATATTAGGGAAGGATTTGGGCCTAGTTATTTCAACACACAGATTAGTTAATAAGTTAACACCATTCTGGATACTCTCTTCATTAAGCCAACAAGATATATAGAAATTTGAAGCATATTTGAGCTCCACAATCAATACATTTTGGCTGCCACCTTCTCTTTTTTCTGCCTTCTTGGCTGAGGAACTTACAAAACCAGCTTTTCTACGGTGTAGGCTCAATGGGTTGAACTGGAACAAGAGATCTTTAAGGTCCTTTCCAACTCTAACAATTCTAAGAGTGAAAAAAAATCTTTAACATGAAAAGGGACAATTGGTTTTCGTGTTTGGAAGGAATGTCCAAGGTAATTTCCTGGAAGGGAAGCAATAAAGTGCCATGTGAGGCTAATCTTGTCTCTTCCTACATGTGTGTTTCTGTACAATGTCATCACAC